CAAGAACCGGTTGAGTCATCCCTGGGGCTCAGTAACGGAGTAAGTGACCTTTCTTCCGAGTACTCGGTCCTGGCCTCGGCTATAAAAAACGAAGTGGATAGTACGGTGAACATCATAGGTAAAGCGCTTCCGACATCTCCCTTCTCACCTGCCCGAGCAGCCCGCGGGAGTCCCACACCGGGGAACCGTGACGGGAAATAACACCCTCAGGGGGAGGGGGTCTGGGGCGGCCTCCGCTGCCCGATCCGGCCCCAGGTTTCAGGGCTGAACCAGGAAGGGGTTTGAGGGGCTGACAAAGGGGCTCCGATGGCCCAGCCTCCGGGAAGGAGGCCGAGAGGGGCTTCCCGGGAGGGCCGGGAGATGTGACGGCGTAGCGCCTGTGGCTAACGATGAGCGAGTCGCGGCCTTGCCGTGATGGCTCAGGGTGCACGTCCTCCTTTAACGCGCGCGGGGACCGGGAGAGGGGGGCCCTGTCCCCTCCACGCCTGCCAGCGGCAGAGATGCCACGGCGGTGGCCCCGCACGTCGTGCAGACGGAGAGACGGAGGCCCGCAGACGGGTCGCCAAAGGGCGCCCGTGGCTTCCACCGGAGTTCTGAGCTCCTTCCTCATGAGACGCGGTGCCACCAGCAGGAAGAGGCCGGGGAGCAGGCAGCCCGGCCCCTGGTTTTGCAGGAGACCGTAAACGAAGCCCCACGTAACAGCGGAGGCTGCACGGCCAGAAGGGGGGCGGGCGAGAGCCGGGGTGTGTCCCCCGCAGCCGCGAGGAGGGCAGTGTTGGGGACGGAGGGAAGGCCAGGGTGACAGCTCAGCAGAGTGAGCAGCCAGTGGGTCCCTCAGACCGGGGCTGGGGGGGTGGGGGGCTCAGGGCAGGTCCTGGAGCCTCTGCAGGCCACGAGAAGGTCTTCATTTACTTCCAAAATGCTGAAGGAGGTGTTTAATATATCTATATCTATATCTATATCTATATCTATATCTATATCTATATCTATGTATATCTATCTATATGTATATCTATCTCTATATTTATGTCTATATCTCTATCTCTATATCTATCTATATCTGTCTATATCTATCTATATATCTATATATGTATATATCTATATATCTATATCTATATCTATATCTATGTATATCTATCTCTATCTCTATCTCTCTCTATCTCTATATCTATCTCTATCTCTATATCTATCTATATCTGTCTATATCTATATATCTATATATGTATATATCTATATATCTATATCTATATCTATGTATATCTATCTCTATCTCTATCTATGTATCTATATATCTATATCTATATCTATATCTATATCTACATCTATCTATCTATATATCTGTATCTATCTATCTATCTATCTATCTATCTATCTATCTATCTATCTATTTAAAATTCAAGTGGAGCAGCACAATGCACACACGTTTGACATACAGACACGCTATAGATGTCATTGGGAGCCTCCGAGGCGGGAGGGCGGCGTGTGAACTACCCCTTCGTGGGCATCCCGCCCGGAGACGCTGCCAGGAATGGGTGGCGGGGCTCTGTCCCACGGTGAGGCCCAGCTCCAGCCCCAGAGCCCAGAAGCCGCCCTTGGGTACCTTCGGGTCCCCTCACCTGAGCTCTAGGCCGTGGACGGCGGGATGCCGGTAGAACCAGAGACGAGCAGGCTGGAGCCAGCCTTCACGTCTGCTTCCCAGCGGGTACGGGTGCGAGGCCGCAGCCACCACAGCCCTCGTGCCCTGGGGCCTGGGAGGTCTGGGAGTGGACCCGGTCCCGGGCTGTCCCTTGCGCGTGGGCGACTGCGGGATGCAGGCAGAGGGACAGCGGTGTGTGCAGGCCGTGTCGGGGACAGCCTGGCCTTGCCTCCTCCGGGCGCTCACGCCCCGCGGGCCGCTGCTGTGTGGGGCCAGTGTGCCCTGAGCGGAGAGAGGTCATCGGATCGAGCATCGGGTCCCTTCCCCTCTGAGGGAGGCGCCCTGCCCAACCAGAGGCCCAGCCGCCCTTTGTCCCGAGCCCCACGCTGTGCACCCCTTAGTGGGCTTTCCTTCATTCGCTGAGGCTCAGTGTGTCACCTCTGGGTCCAGCGATAGCTCTTCGCCCCGCTGAGTGGTGCCAGGTCCCGCTGGCGCCAGGGTAATGGGTGAGTCAGTGCTTCCGGCCACGGCGATCACCTGCTGCCTTACGCCAGTGGTCGGCAAACTCATTCGTCCACAGAGCCAACTATCAACAGCACAACGATTAACATTTCTTTGGAGAGCCAATTTAAAAAAAAATAATTTCTTTATTGATTAAGGTATCACATATTTGTCCTCAACCCCCCATTCCAATCCCCCACCCTCACCCCCACGCATGCCCCTACCCCCCTGTTGTCCTTGACCACTGGTTAGGCTCGTGTGTGCACGTGAGTCCTTTGGGGGAGCCGCATTGTTTAAACATAAACTTCTCCCAACGCCAGTTCTTCGAAATAGACGCGCCCAGGCCATGGTATTTTGTGGAAGAGCCACACCCAAGGGGCCAAAGAGCCGCCTGTGGCCTGCGAGCCACAGTTTGCCGACCACGGCCTTACGTGATTCTCTTTCTTGGCTTCACGATAAAATAACGGATGGCAGGGAAAGGGGTTTGAGGACCTCTCTGTAGAGGTGGCCGTTTTGAAGGGACGCTGATGATAAACGACGTGGGCCATCGTGCCTTTGGAAGGGTGGGTGACGTGTGCTCACTGCTGACAGCGGCCCGGCCTGGACCATAAGCCCTTCCCCGGGGCGCCTGTCCACACCCCCCGGTGACCGCTCATGGGCCACCCCGTCTTTGTGATTGGCGGGGGGAGAGGGGAACACCGGGACCCTCATCGGAGCCGCTGGGCGCGGGGGAGTCTGTAAAAACGCCTCCTCCCCCAGGATGGTTTGTGACGCCCGGTCCAGTGGGCTCTGAGCCCAGGCTTCCTTTCTGGTTCGTATGGAGCAGGCGTCTTCAAACTACGGCCCGCGGGCCACATGCGGCCCGCAGAGGAGTCTGATCCGGCCCGCCAGGTGTTTTGGGCAGTGAGCGCAGCCGAGGTGTTACAGTAGGAATTAGTAGTTCATATAGTCCGGCCCTCCAGCTCTCTGAGGGACCGTGATCTGGCCCCCACTTTAAAAAGTTTGAGGACCCCTGGTCTGGAGGCACCGGGACGGGAGGGCGAGGTGCCCTCGCCCGGTTTTACGAGCCTGTGCTTACAAGGCGAGAGCAGGAACGCGAGCGAGCGGTCACCGCAGCAGGACTCCCTCCCGGGTCCGAGGCCCGGGCTGGGCCGTGGTTGAGCCGTTAAGCTGATCCGGTGGAGCCGCCCCCGGGCGGTGTGTTCCGGACGGGATGGCTGTGTTTGTAAGCGGATCCGGGAGGGTGCAAAGTGCAAAGTGCACTGTTGCTCCGACACGTGAGCTATTGCTTGACTGCTAAGTCTGACTTTAATTCTGGCCACAAATCATAGCAGGAAAACACGGGCACATGCACACACACACTCATAGGTACACACACGTGCACACACGTGCACACGCACACAGGCACACGCGCACACACTCGCAGTGGTCAGCAGGCTGTGCTCCGGGCTCGCCTTCTGGCCTGGGACAGCCCAAGGCTCTTTCCCGTCTGGTGGGCTGTGCCCCCCAGGAGCGTCCGTCTCCGTGTCCAAGGCCTGTCCCTCGGCGCTCCCTCTGCCCGGGGTTGAAGGCTCGGGTAGCACCGGCCATCTCCCGCTCTCCCTTCGAGGGGAGGAAGCACGCCGCTTTGCTTTCGCTTGAGGTTGGCCTTGCACTGTCCTGCGTGAGCGAGACTTCTGCTTCTGGGGAGCGGAAGCATCGGCAGCCTGCTGGGTGGCTCTGACTCCCCCTGGTGCCAGCCCAGGGGCAGGTGCAGGGTCTGGGGCAGGGACTGGGGCAGGTGCAGGGTCTGGGGCAGGGACTGGGGCAGGGTCTGGGGCAGGTGCAGGGTCTGGGGCAGAGACAGGGTCTGGGGCAGGGACAGGGGCTGGGGCAGGGTCTGAGGCAGGGGCAGGGTCTGGGGCAGGGGCAGGGGCTGGGGCAGGGTCTGAGGCAGGGGCAGGGTCTAGGGCAGGGGCAGGGACAGGGTCTGGGGCAGGTGCAGGGGCTGGGGCAGGGGCTGGTGCAGGGTCTGAGGCAGGGGCAGGGACAGGGTCTGGGGCAGGTGCCGGGTCTGGGGCAGGGACAGGGGCTGGGGCAGGGTCTGAGGCAGGGGCAGGGTCTGGGGCAGGGACAGGGGCTGGGGCAGGGGCAGGGGCAGGGTCTGGGGCAAGTGTGGGTGTTGGGTCTGAGGTCCTTATTTCTTGACAAAAGGCAGCCACGCCCTTCAATCCTTCAATGAAGCAGAGATTGCTGGGGAGCCGGGGGGCGGGGCTGGCTGGTCCTCACGCTGAAGTATCAACCAGTCCTGAGAGACTAGACCACAGAAATCAGGAAAGAGTGTAATTTGGGCTTTGGCAGCCCCAGATGCACCTTATAGAACGTCCTTTCTGTGTGTGTGTGTGTGTGTGTAATTGCTTCCAAATTTGATTAACTTTAAAGTAAACTTTGGGAAGCTGTTTAGGCAAGCTTGGATACTCGGGTGTCCACAGGGAGGACTGAATTTGCAGAGATCTTTCCCACGTAGAGACCCCTGGAGAGTCCTTCTCTTCTCTCCGTCTCTCCCCCCTCCCTTCCACTCTCTCTGTCAATGAAAAAATACCCTCGGGTGAAGATTAACAACAACAACAAAAAAATAGTACTGATCCTGCCTACCTCACAGGTACAAGGATCCAGTGAGAGGAGCTGGTGGGTGTACGGGGGTAAAATACCAGGATGATGTGATGTCTTCAAAATACACTCAGGCCATCTGAGTCAGAAAGCGTCCCCACCCCCGCCCGGTGCTGAGGGGTCAGGGCTGATGTTACAGGTAAAACCCGAGGCCTCAGGTGGGCCGAGGGCCCCTCCACAGCGCCAGGCGGAGGGCTGGCTTTAGATGCCGCCCGGGAGCTTCATCCCGGACCTGCCGCTCCCAGGGACCTTGGCGGTCCTCCCAGCCGCTCCGGTCTCTGCTGTTCCCAGCTGCTCAGGAGGGACCTACCCCCCGCCCAGGACCTCTCAGC